TTTAGCCCAAAGTAAGCAGAGGTTGTAGCAAATGTGCTCCCATTGGCTGTTAGATTTAATTAAAAAAGATATTTGGGTCTTTTTAGTACGAAAAAATATTACTTAATAAATTTATACCAGCCAGAAAGAAATTGCAGTTCACACTGTACTATTTTAAACATGTTCTACCAAAGTCTAGGATGAACTAATTCAACAGTCTGTTTCCACTCTACAAAGTTGTCAAATTAATATTTACGAGATTAAGAATGTGCAAAAAGCCACTTGAGCTGAACCAAATGGATGCCAAGCTATCAAAAGAAATAAAAAAAAACTATTGAGAAAAATACCAAAAAATACATTTAATATAAAAGCAGATAGAAGTGCATAAAAAACTAATCAGCAGAGGTAGTGATCATGTAACCTAAGTGTATATCAAATTTCCTTTGAACTGGATTGCATTGTCTCAGACTGGCAGCTAATTTGCATATTAATTTGCATACTAATTAACATATTGTAGTTGTATTAAAATATATAAAATAATATCCGAAGTTTTGAAAAAAAAAATTATGACTATTAAGTCAACATTATTAAAATTGAGGATTACGTGAATTTGACCCCCTCCCGAATATTGTTTCACATATCCCTTAAAAACATGGCCGCTGTTAAATCCATCTCAATCAAGGTCCGTAATTTATTTTCCTGCTCATAATGGAGATAAATTATGGTAGCTAAACATTGAAATTGCCACCCTGACTTCAGTACCAAAATAAATAGCTCATTGGGAAAATGTGTCTCTGTTGACAGAGGTTCGATTTACCGATAAACTTCAACACTGCATGGAGCATAGAGGTCCCGGTCACGAGTGCAGTAACGCACTCGGTTATCATATTTACTTCAAAGGTAATTTAAAAGCGATGATAGATTCATTGATATTTAATTACAGTACTTTTCAATTTCATCATTGCTTTCAAGCAGTCACTGTTGGCCGAACTTGACTTGTGTTTTCTCGATAATTCTAGTCTAATATGTCGTCACGAAACCAAGTTTCAATCTGCTAGCAGTTATTCCCAAGCCTCCTAAATGACGAGATAAACTTTCGATGTACACGTTTCATAACCAGTTCTTGAACTAATAGCAGGACTGTTTTTCTGGCAAAGTGTGACACTGTGCGATCGCTAGTTTCTCACTAAAGTCAGGACACAAAAGGATAAATCAAAGTTCATAATAAATACCATAAGCAAAGTTTCTTACCTTTGAGATAGAATTTAATCTATGTAAGCCTTGTGCAAAGAAAGATACAGTCCCGGAATACAATATCCTCAGACGAAATCGACGGCGATTTTCTTAGCAGTTAGACTGGCGCATGCGCAATACAGTATACCAGTTCTCTTGCGAGATGTTGTTAAAACTCAGATTTTTCCGGCAAATTTCGGCACTTGTACTAGTAAAATGTTGAAAATCCCAGAAAAACACAATGAAACCTTGGCGAATCAAAAAAATACTTGGCGTGCATATGTATGGCATTGAGAATTACATTTGCACCAACTTTGAAAACAATTGGACAGAGCATATCAAAGTTATAAGAGATAAAAGACAGACGAACTGACGGACGGACGAACAGACGAACAGAACTTCGTCTGCGAAGGCTAACAAGCAATGTTGTTATCACACAAATGTAGAGTACTTTGACTGTACTGTTGACAAGGTTTTGTATTAATGCAATAAACCTGTGTATCTATAACATGTAATTATATACCAGGCAATATGAACTAAAAATCCATTATCCCTGTCATAGAACAGCCAGTTTCTGGAGAAGGCTAAAACAGTGAAATTAGTTTCTGTCTTCTTGAGGTGTTTACCCTGAGTGTTACCCATTTTGACGATATAACTTGCCACAGGAATTTGTTAAGGAAACAGTTTATCAAAATAAAAATCTGAATATACTGTATGGTTTTCTCCCGACACGTTCAACTCTGCTGATAAAAAGAACTTGCATACATGTAGTGGTGTCCCAATTTTAAAAGCAGTCGCTAACCGCTTTTCTAAAAGCACCATTTTAATTGACGAATAAATACGCTTGCTAGCATGCTGCATGTGTTTGAATGTCTTGTGCTGCACAGGTAACAGATTCAGTCAGTTTTCTTGTAATAACCACAAATAGTTAAATTGCCCACATATGTTCATAAAAACGACTATGTATATTTCCAATTTCACCTTGCTTTGGCACACGTTAGTAACAAGAATGGCGGAAATCAGATACAAAACTCACTAGATGTTATAATCTGCAAGCAGGGGGAGGAGATTGCTAAAATGCTTAATTAAGACATGTGCTATTTACTTACTAACAACAGGTAGATTGTCCTCATCTAAGACCACTTCAGCGTGTCCATCCTATCAAGACAATATACCAATCAGTATGGCCCTCTCTCAATTATAGTATACAATGAAAACAGTAATTTATCACTGGGATTTAGTTGCAGCGTAGTTGGGGAATAATCATCTCATTTGAATAAATTAATATTCATGAGCAATGACCAAATCGTATTTTCAGTAAAATTGTGCCTTAATGTTTTACGATAGCATACATGATAGTTCTAAATTGACTGATTTTATTGTTACGAGCCGAAAAAATATATCGAAAAACTGATGTAAAGGTGTTTTTTGAGACAGACTACAGCAAAGTAACCAAAGGTTTTTTTTTTACCCTGATCATAGCAAGTTACAAATTTCATGGAGAATGCAGAGGCACATTTATATTTCCCTCTAGTACTATTGCTCAAAATTGCTCAAAATGTTTTCAGTGACTTTTGTCAGTGACAAGTTACCTAATTAGTATGTATTTCGAGAAACCACAGTGTGTGTGCATGCGCAGTTCGAAATGGAACAATTTTGAACGCAATAAAATCACTCGTAGAACTCTGGCTCCAGCAAAAAATTGTGGCGTCAAACTGGCTTTCGGTTGAATTGTATTGCAATAGACATAATTTTAGAGCCTGTATGTTTGTACAAGTTTTGTTGAGGATTATTTTGTAAAGAAATCGCTGAAATTATTTCATCTGTTCGTAAAAGGGGCGTTGTTGCTTTGACGATTGGCTATGAACGATTGACATCGAAAGGTTTCATTCAGACTGGGTGGCACCCTCTCGTGCCAATTTGTCACTATTCCAAAGTCTCCCATAAAATCTGTACATTAGGTTACGCCTGAGACTCAAAAGTTGATACACATATCCCGCAAAAGTTCTTCAAAACATAACATGGCAACTCATCAGGATGCGACTCGTGAATTAATTTCAGTATGCTGTGAACATTGCTTTGTTTCTTATTTTGTCCCTGAAACTTTTTACAACAATTACATGTATCAGGACTAATAAAGCTGAGATCGGTTATCACTTTCAAACTCCAAAATTCTCAACACAAAGTTAGATGATGACATTATTTGGTAACACATCAAATTTGTTTATAACAAAGCATAACAGCTACAGTAGTTTATAATCACTAAGTTTGAAGGTCTTTTATTGGCATCACTATCATTTGATCTTTTCTTGTCAGAGATCAAGTTACCATGGCATAGCTTAACAGATTTGGAAAGTTATCCACAGTCCTTACAGCACAGCATTGCCGAGTTTGATTGTTATTTAAATACAAGTTATCCAGCTCAAAAACAGGTAAGCGACATCGGTGTCAAAATCAATACAAACACCATTTTGGAGTACTTAAAGCTTACAATTCTCAGCTATAGTTAGTATGGCAGTTGATATAATCATAGACAATACTGTGTAGGTTCACAGGGATTGACAGAAATAACAGCATTACTTTGAGAGCAAACAGAAGTGCAACAGCAATGATGCCATTTGAATCATTCAATGGGAAGTATGTCTGAGAAGTATAAAGGCACTAATACTTAAAAAATACTTACACGAACTAGAAAAGATAGATAAAACATGTTTTCCACAGTTTGAGCATAGGATTCTGGGTTGACAACGAACTCAAAAAAAGATATTGGTTCAACTAGAAAGAGAAGAAAAAAACATGTACAAATAGAACGAGTAAACAAGTTAACAGTGTTATGATAAACAAGACAAATGTTTTTGATGAAGAAATACATGGCCTTAGATATTATGAATAACTAAAAAATAGTGGATAGGTTTGATTTTATATCACTGTAAAAATGAGATTCATTCATAGTTTATTGCATTCAAATATTAGAAGAGAAAGCTAAATATACATTGAATCTGATTGAATCATCATGATTTGCTTTTCTAAAATGGATATGATGCCCAATTTCAAATAAAATTGTAATTGCATCAGAAACCACTATAAGTATGAACACCAGGTTTGAATGAAACTGGACCAGGCACACCTAACATTATGTACTGTCTTAAGGTAGCGAGAAGGTTTTGTGACGTTTTCGAATAAAACATTCTCTGTCTGTTGTCTCGTTCAGAACAGTAATTTAGCTTATATATTTCAAAAGACTAAGTATAGTGGTACAAGTTCGCACAAACTGGACAGTCATTGTTTACATAATTATCACGTGACATCAAAAATGGCGAACCTTGTAAAAATGACTAAGTCCGCGATTGTGAGAGCACACTGCGGAATTTCCTGGTGAAATTTACGTAATGCATTGTCCATAATCAAGTCCATTGAAATGTGTCTCCGATTTCTATGCAGGTTTGTTTTTTTGTCCCCAGATTATTTCATACTTAGCACCTTTAACAGACTATTATTCTGTGACAAAGCATTTTCTTTAAAAACC